AAATCCAAAGTGAATACTAGTCACTTCGCACAGGCCTAGATCTCAACATTTTTAGATTCAAAGCACCCCTTATTAGACTCAAGGCACTCCCTCAGAAAATGCCACCTCTTAACTTTCACTCTGTTTTTAACTATGAAAAAAATAATAGAACAATTTTTCTGTTGCAAAGAACTCAGAAAGACATAACTTGTCAGAATGTTTTGGCACTATAGATTTCTATTTGCAATCTCTGGCATTATCTTGTGAATCATGTTTAGGTATCTATGCACCCAACAATGCTAATATTGTGAGACACCCTGCAACATCCTTAAAAGGATCTCATGTCACCCTGGTTGAGAATCACTGAACTAGATTCGATTTAGAACTCCTTTGTGTTACTGGAACACTACAAAGTGGTCAGACTGCAGGTTAGATCTGAATAGTGTTCTTGCAGGCTGAAATTTGGGGAGTGTGGGAAGAAAATACTTTAGTTTGGCTGTTATATTCGCAAATGAACATAATCATACATTTTTGTGCAACACTTATTACAGTATTTACCAGAAAACCTGGAAATAGGTTTAAATTGCTAGAGATGTTTTAGTCTACTGGGTACATAATGTAAGTTCAATTTCCCCGTGCCAAATTATATATCTATCTCTGCAACCAAAACAGCTGTGAATAAGCCACTAGGGTGTCTCAGGTGAATAGCACTGACTGAATCTTAGAAAACTTGAACAATCTCTGCAGAAAACAAACAAACAAACAAACAAAAATACTTACTACAAATAAAATGCTGGCTCCCCAGTGGGAGCCAGTAGTCCTCCCGGCTGCACAGCCCAGTACAGAGTGGAGGCTGCTGGCACAAAGGTGCCACCCCCACACTTTCCCCCCACTGATTGGATGAGAGGGCTGCCTATTGTGTGGCCCTGTTGCTCTCCACCAATCAGTAGCAAGGGGTGGGGCCACATGACAGGCAGCTCTCTCCACTAATCAGTAGTGTGGGGCCAGGCCAATCAGAGGTGTGGGGTTGCCCAACATAATAAGCCCATTAAAATGGCAGCCTGCCCTGTGGTCTGCCTGCAAAATTGTCTGACCTCCACCTTGATTTGAGCCTACTTATAAGCCAGTAAGTACCTACTGGGATCATAAGGAAGAACAAGTGTATACATGTAACAGCAAGCTAATATAAAATTCAGTTTACATATGAAATGTGTAATCCAGTTCTTCAGTCATAGAAAATTAGGTTTGCAAGGGACATCAGGAGATCATCTAGTCCAATCCCCTGCTCAACCCAGGACCATCCCCACCTAGGTCATCCCACCCAAGGCTTTGACTAGCCAGGTCTTAAAACCTTCCAAGGATGGAGCTTCCACCACCTCTCTGGGTAACCTGTTCCAGTGTTTTACTACCCTTCTAGTGAGAGAATATTTCCTAACATCTAACATAAACTTCCCTTGCTGAAACTTGATAGCATTGCTCCTTGTTCTGTCATCTGCCACCACTGAGAACAATCCAGCTCCATCCACTTTTGAACCCCACTTCAGGTAGTTGCAGGTTTTTACTAAATCCCCGCCTCAGTCTTCTCTTCTCTAGACTAAATAAAACCAGTTCTTTCAGTCTTTCCTCATAAGTCATGTTTCCCAGCCCCCTCACCATTTTTGTTGCCCTGCACTGGACTCTCTCCAACTTGTCCACATCGTTTCTGTAGTGGGGGGATCCAAAACTGAACACAGTACTCCAGATGTGGCTTCACCAGTGCTGACTGGTCTGTAATTCCCTGGATCCTCCTTTTTCTCTTTCTTAAATATGGGTACTGTTTGCCCTTTTCCAAACATCCAGAACCTCTCTTGATCACCATCAGTTTTCAAAGATAACGGCCAGTGGCTCTGTAGTCACATCAGCCAACTCCCTCAGCCCCTTTGGGTGAATCCTGTCCAGCCCCATGGACTTGTACATGCCCAGCTTTTCTGTACCCATCCATGCCAGTGCTCCCGTCATGCAAGTTCCCACCAAGTCTCTGTTATTCCAGTCTTGTCATAGTTTGGTGATTGTGCAAGGACTTCCAAGTCTTCCTGCTTGTTTCCCAGGCTCTGTGCATTCATATATAGTAAAAGTTACGTTATCTGGCACTTAACAAGCCAGTGTGCTCTATTAACCGGCATGCCGGCTTGTAAGGTAAAATCAAAACAGGAAGTGCCCACCATGGCACTTCTGGTTTTGCCGAACCCCCACAGCCTGGGGCAAAGCAGCCTGTTCTGCTGACCCCCATAATAACAATTCTTTTCCCCTTTATCCTCCACCCCCCTCCCTGTCCCTCGAAGTGGGAGGAGCGGCAATGCGGCAGGAGGGGCGACAGCACACCAGACGCGGCAGGAGAGGCAGCCTCTCAGGTAACTGGCATATTTTGTAATCTGGCACTCCTGATTCCCCATGGGTGCCGGCTAACAAAGCTTTTACTGTATGAGGTTCTGCGCACCCTCAGATATGAAACACATGGGGAGGTATGAATAAATAAACCCCCCAGTATTACACCCTAATCAATAAAAGCTATTAAATTTATATCAATATTCAGAATAATCTCATTGCTTTTTTACTTCTTTTGAACATATGAGTAAAACATGAGAAGAATCCTTAGGTTTACTAAGACTTACTCTTTTTTTTTTCCCATTTATAGTCTTATATTTGTCCAATTGCTTAACATAACTATATAAGGGCACCCTGTCTAATGATAATTTCTGCTGCCTTGTCTAACCTGCATACTTAAATAAGCCAACATATGGTTGAGGACAGGGACAAAACCACCCCTACTCATTTCATCTCTATTATGTACAATATAGGCCAAATCTTGGTCTTACCATTGAAGTTAATGTCAAAACTCCCATTGATTTCAACAGAACCAGAATTTGACCACCTACTTCAAAAATGAAGTGATATGTTGTAAACTTTATGTTTACATTAGATCATATGGAAGACCCTGGAGAGGCTGCAGGTGGTGAAGATTTAAATTTAGATCTGAAAAAATATAGGCTCAAACTTGGCTAAAGAAAACAGTAAATAATGGATCTGGTTGTGCTTGGAAGTAGTTCTGCTAAGTGCAATTGAATTGGCTGTTTATGTTTGCAAAAGAAAACAAGGTCCTGAGTAGAGCTGGGTGAAAACAAAACTTTTCTTTTGAAGGGTAAGAAATGTTTGGAATCCATTATTCATGCAGCCCTGGGAGTAAAATGGGAAGAGTAAACTATGTAAAATTTATCCTGGTAGGTCATATCCAACCCCAGCTAATGTTTATGGTAGTGTCTCTTTTGTCTTTAAGGGAAGCTGTTTCCAGGTAAATATCACCACCACAGAAATGCTAACTCAGTTGTGTTTTTTCACTACTAAAGAGGGACATCAGAAATGACAAAAGCTTACAGAACACTTCTCCCAATTATAAAGTTGGTCTCACCCTACCTCACAAATCTTGATTCTAATTACTCAACCCTCCACTTGTCATATAAGTATACTTGCTGGAGATGATTGAGTTGGAGATTCTTCAAAATTTCTGTTTCAAATTATCTTGTCACCAATACAAAAAAAGCTGAGCTATTTCATGAAATGTTGGGCATTGATTTGAAAAAAGAGTGCTTATCATTTTTTTAAGATATTGCCAGGAGTAACAGAAAAATGTTCATTAACAAGTTGTTATTCTGGGTTCTGAATACATTTTTAAGACAGAAGAAAAGAAAATCTGACTCCATGCACTTTTGCTTAAAGGACCTCTACAAGGTTATTTGACCCCAGCAGTCTTTCCTGCCCAGAGCAGGGGGGTGGACCAGATGATCTCACAAGATCCCTTCCAGCCCTAAACTTCTGTGAATCTGTGAACTATCTTGACTTTGACAGGTATAGTCAGGCCCCTGTGTTCCCTGAGACTGTCACTGTACAATTTGCTGAAGAATTCACCCTGTCTGAAAAATGCTCCAAGCTTATTAAAAAGTGTGTTTTTAAAAGTGTGTTTCTAGACCTCCTGGCTGCAAAAATAAGATGAAGCAAGTGTAAGCAGCTGCGCTGATGTCTGCCTGAGTCTGCAGAAGTCTGCAACAATAGCTCTGACAGGTATGAACTCTAAAACCTAAAGATGACAATCTGTGGTTTATTGAAAGCTCAAAATGTATCATAGCATAAAACCAATTGATTTTTTTATAAAATATAAAACCCTATAGATTGTTCTATTATTTTTCATATTGCACCTAATAAAAACCTCCATGTAATAAATTATTACAAAATTGCCACAAATGTAGAGATTTTCAACCAAATTGCTATAGAGTTTAGGTGGGCTGATCCTCAGCTGACATTAATGGTCTTTGATGAAGGCATGACAATTTATACCAGCTGAGGAACTGCCCTATCTAGACAACTGCTGCAGAGTACATCAGGCCTAGCAGTATATAGCTCCCAAATAGAATCAGGGCCACGTTATGCTGTACACTTTACATTTACTGTGTAAAAGGTAGCCTATTATTTCCCCTTGTTCCCTGTTGCCCCAAATCCTACAATTAACTTAGTAGTAGGTCTTCTCTCTGAACACTTTTTTAAAATTCTCTTTCTACTCTGCTTTTGTTTCTTTGAGGTTTCAGGAAAAAGTTTGTTCTTTATTGTTGTTGTTCCTCCACTAATTTCCTTTCATCTAGCATCAACTAAATCTACATAACGTCCACTTTCATGCTGCTTACTCAACACTAAAACAGTTTTAAAGTGAATTAAATCTAATTTCTTTTCTGTGTAGGAGCTAAAGACTGTTATGAAAACTATTCTCCCTGATCATGCAAAAAAGAAAATGAATGGCAACACAGAGCAGGACTACTCTGAACTCACAGAGACAAAGGTACTGGTTTCTTTAAGGAGAAAAAAAAATCACACTTCTAATATTCAGAACTTGGATGTCTCTGCATAGGAAATGTTAAGCTGCTTTTCCCTTCTTGCTCCTCCCTTTGCCATTCTGATTGTTGGATATATAAATTAAGGTTCAGGACTCTGCTTACAAATCAGTTTTCTTGTCAGTCAGCACTAGTAGCCCAACTGGGGTTCACAGGAAAGGGAGATGAGGAACTTCTCCTGTAAAGAAATTTAAATCAAAGCAAAACTTCTCTGTAAGAAAAATAGGGGGTGGAACTGCATGGTTTCACTAATGACTTTGCAAACATTTAGTCAAAAATAACCTAGAAACCTGGTTGCACTTTATTTAATATTCAGATAAGGACCATTCACCCGCTGTTAAGCTACAACATCTACAATCATTCTTTGAATACTGATAATTATATGAAACAGACTCCCCTAGAGGCTGGTAGTCTAGTCTGGATTCACCTGGAATACAAAGATGAATAATATAGCATATTACATGCATACAAGTAGTTGCAATTTATAGAAATGTCCATTTATGCTCCTGAAAGAAGATGTATATTTCCCTGGGGAAATGGTATAAGGTGATATAAACCTACATGCAGTATTGTTTGCATCCTATCTCCTAATGTACCTGTCCTTGATTAATTCATAAATAAATAAATAAAGTTGTATTTATCCAGATGAATATCTTTCCCTATAAGATCATAAAAGAGAAAATGTTAACAAAGGGATGTGTGTGGCCCACTGTAGTGAAGGGTTATTCATCACAGATACATGAAGCGAGTATTTATAAGAGGCATTTGAATGGCTTGGAGTGGATTTTTCTAAAGATTAGTAACATGATTATGAATGTGTTCTCTCGCTCTCTCTATCACCCCCTTCCCCTCCTACTACTCCCATCAGGTGCCTTGTCCTTGTTTTCCCCTCTTATTTGATGATGGCTGATAACACCTTTCCTCCACCAGAGAAGCAACTGGGAAGTTTGCTCCTTCCTCACAAGACTGAGGGTATAATTAGAACAACGCACCTGCTCAGTCCTCCAGTGACTCAGTTAGTCTACATCCATGTCAAAATCCATGCTGTGAGGGTAATTTGATCATCTCACTTAAAAAAAAATACTTTGTTTGAATAAACCTCAAGAACAAGGCTCAGTTGAGCTGTTGTTTTTTTTTTGGGGGGGGGGGGGG